TAACCAGGGACTGAGTGTAGAAGCTGCACTTCCTAAGCTTCCTAAACTGTTTTAGGTGAAGGATTTAGAAACATTGTTACAGACATTTTATTTGTTTTATTGCTCAAAAGGATGAACGCACGATGTTAAAGTGCATCCAGGAAAGAGGAAACATCTGCATTATGCTTTAACACAATCCACAAACTGCGTCACTGTTTTCTTCCTCCAGCACATAAACCGAAATCAGCTGATTGTAGCACAAGTGGAACTAATAAGGGGAACAAACAGGCAGCCAGAGGAACATGAAACTACTGGGAACCGCTTCTCTACGAGGCTTTCATTCAAAACTCTGAGGAGGACCGTTAACACGTCGCACTAAGCTGTTGCTGTAATAATAAGAAATTCAGTCACAACACAATTAGAAGAACGTCATCATCAGGGTGTGTCTGATAGGGACCTGAGGTTTGTCCTTTTCTTTGGACCATTAGCGTGACTCATCTTCCACTTCTGTGTTTTCAGTTTTCAGTATTTATGTTTCTAGTTTTTCATGTTTGTTTAACTGGTTCTTTTCACGTGACTGGATCCAAGCTCGTCTTTGGACTGTGGGTGAAAGACGGTATATCCGGAGGAAGCCCACACGTGCACAGAGAGAGCCTGCTGCCTCCAGCCACTTATCATCAAACGTCCAGTGTGAAAGACACTGACACAGATCCTCACTGAACTTTAATGACCTTCTTTCATTGCCTGGACTCAAACTCTGCTCCATAAACGGGGACTTTTAGCCTGACCCTGCAGACAGACCTTCTGTCTCTACTATCAAACACATACCTGGATCAAACTGGACGAGTGCAGATGGGTTTGTGAGGAAGTCTTTTCCAGCTGTTGCAGTGACCTCATTTACCTAAATAAAGACACAAGTCGCAGAACCACATGTTCATCAATCTGCATACAAGCTAAATGTCCTGTAGCTGAGTTATCACAAATCTCTTTTCACCTCAGTCATATTTGTGTAGAGCCAGTTCACAACAACAGTCACCTGATAGTGGAAACTATACGTATAACATGTCTTAGTTAACCATTGTTAGAATAAGAGAAATCATAGCTACGCCTCAGTTTCAGTAACGAATGACGTGCAAACCTTGACAGAAATATATGACGATACGGCCAAATTCCCCCGACGAACGATGTCCAGTGAGATCGTTCCCTGCTCCTCACAGGCTGACGTCTCGGTCTGCAGCAGCTCCACCCTGGACCACCTGAACTCGAGTCTGCAAAGAACAAAGTTAATACAGGACAAACTCTGCACTGTTTATTTAAAGTATTGTTCTTACAGGTGACGAGGCCCTGTGTTCCCCAGCAGGTCGGACACTGTGAACTCCAGGCTGTCTGAGACAGACTCCGTGTCCAGACTGATGATGTACACAATAGATCTCTTCTTTAGCTCCATCTGCAAGAAGCGCTGTGGCACAAAACCCCCTGCACAAAGTAAGAAGGATGAGGCTACAGGTTTCTGGTTCAAAGTTAAAGTGTAAACATCGTCCTTACCTGTGGTAATGTTTTCCAGGAAACCAAAGTGTGGTGGACGAACTATGCAGAATATGAGCTCTTCTTCTCTGCTGTTGCTGTCTCGAGCCTTCAGTTCTTGGGATGACAGGAAGATGCCGTATCGGCCATCAGCTAAAGGCTCTGCTTTCCAAAGGGGAAGCACTTTCACAACCTCAGGAGGCGACTTATCCAAAGGCCTGATCTGAAATTACACACAGGCTTGATGTTGTACTAGAAATGGCACAGGGTTAGTACATTTCTACTGTGCAGTTGTCTGTGCAGTGTCCACGTCCCTCTCCTTCTGTGCACAGCTTTCAATAATGACCACAAAAGTGGTTTAGCACTGTGTGGATAAAACAGCTAACCAGTGTTTGTTTGTCTTAACTAGAGCACATGTTTCCAACACAATTATGGCACCACCACAGTATCGTCACAGGTAAAGCCAGCCCTTATAACCTACCTGAAATATGAAGAAAACAGGCTCTCTGTGTAACTGCCCGTCCAGCAGGAACCCTCGATTAGTGCTGTCTGAGCCAGCGAAGGAGAATCGGTCTATCTGTGACGGCCCCCCGTCGTGTTGATATGCCACCTCCAGCTCCTCTATGTCTCTCTGGGTGAAATTAGAGCCTGTGCTCAGTGGTTCACCAGCTAAAACTAGTCTGCCGTACTGTGGAGGCTGTGAAAGGACAAAGGTCAGGGTGCTGGGAGGAGTGTCGGGGTCTGACAGAGACAGGTAGTCTGGACCCAGGATAATGGACGATCCCTGGGGCACCGTGAGGACTTTGTTGGAGGACAGAGATGGTAAGATACGATCCACCGTTTCCACCCCGATCTCAAAGCTGCCATTTACGCTAGTTTTACCATTGCTCACAATAAACCTGTCAAAAGAAATGCAAAGGACTGGTTGTTAGGTGTAATGTGATCAAAGTGATGACTACAGTACATCAGTCGCTAATTTACTTTTGAGGTTAGCTTTCACCAGACAGTTTAATTCGATTCAGCTCAAATCAATGTAACATTATTTATATGGTGCCTAATCACAATAACAGTTCCCTCAGGGAGCTTTATATTGTAAGGTAGACCCTACAATAATATAGTGAAAGCAGTGGAAACACCAACAATCATATGAGCCCCTATGAGCAAGTGCTTTGGCAACAGTGAGAAGGAAAAACTCCCTTTTAACAGGAAGAAACCTCCAACAGAACCAGGTTTAAGGGTGGAGGTGGTGGTGACCCATGTGCTGTTTGATTCTCCACCAGTTTGGGTTATTAGTCTAACAACCAATAACTGAGTGAATCCCACTGAAATGGGATCTTGAAAGGTCTTTCTCATTAAGAAAAGCTGCAGGTCAAAGTTAAATACGAAGCATCGTTTGAAAGAGCTTTCCTTGATCTCAGACAGCGTTTCAGACTCACTGGAAAGTTTCTTTGGGCGTGCTGGCTCTGTTATCGTGAACATAAGCCACCAGGTTGGCTGCTATGTCCATCTGGCTGAAGGTAGAAATGATGATGCCAGGATGTTTCATGTACTCTATGTGTCCATGAGCAGGTGGGCTGGTGATGACGTACAGAAGCTCCTCTGGCTGGTCTGTGCCATCTGTGGCCTGCAGCACATGGGTGGTGAGAACGATGCGATCTCCACGGCTGACGTTCGCTGGGTTCACAAAGATGACGATGTTTCCTAAAAAGACAAAGTACACGGTGTGACTTCACTGCAGACACTTCCTCTCTTCAGATTTGCATTTATTACATCAATGACTAAAATATTGTTTTGTTGGACTGAGATTAGGTGGCTGTATGCTATGGGTGTATTAGGTATAGTTGCCGGTCACCAAGACTACATCAAGTACTCTCAGCAGGTTTACTAGACGATATGAATGCAGCATCACTTACAATCCCTGCTGTGACCATCACTGAAACCAACCAGCTGATCTACACCAGCAGCAGAGATCACGCTGATGCTTGGCTGCAAGATGAACAGCAACAAGGAGCAGTGTCCTCCATGGAGACTACAGGCCATCAGCTAAAGTGAAGGTAGCACGGAGGGACGTTAGCCAACTACCGGCTAAAGGGTGTGAGGAAGAAAGGGGTGCCTAAGAAGCACAGCAAGCTGCCAGCATCGAGACATTGGAAACTGCCATTTGAAGAGGTATACCAGAGAGATAGAAGGCAGGAGAATAACCCAGCTACACTCCAAGGAAACATCCATCCATGGTATAACCTCAGTGGCAGGGGAGGAAGATGAGAACACCAAGCCTGGAGACAGAGCAATACCGGAAGAGCAAACAGGAGAAGACACAGCAGCAATGCTCAGTGGCTAATGGATCTAATAGCAGACCACAGCAACCTTCCTATGCAGGGTCCCGTAACCATCACCGTGGCAGACATCCTATTGGCCGATAACCTGCCTCAGTACCACGTGGAAGCTCCTGTCAGGCATCATAGTGGCTAAGACGAACAGGCACATGGGTCAAGACATGAGTGGGGCACAGAAAGGGGCAAGAATACCTGAGGAGTGAAACCCCTGTTACTGGTAGACTGAGCAGCCTGACCAACCTGTGCACTGCTGATTTGACTGAAATAAAGTCTATGACTCACACCTGGATCCTGGGATCCCAAAGCTCTACAAGATCAACAGGACCCTCAGAGGCTTCATCAGGAACTCAGTGGGAATGTGAAACCATCAAGTGTTGTGCCAGGGAGAAGCTCTGTCCCCACTGCTGTTCTGCACAGGCTATCAACACCTACGCCCTGCCCGTGACCACATACCCTGCTGGGATAATAAGCTGGCCAAAGGAGGAGATGCTGACATATAGACTGTCACAGGTCTGGGTCATTTCGACCCAGCGTTTTCAGTTCTTTGTGATTTATTTCTATGGTTCCTGGGTTTTGATCCCTTGGCCCTCGTGTTTCTCTTTGCCCCCTCTGTCCTGTGTTTGGATCCCAGTGGCTGGACAAAGCTGGACTGAAGCAAGCACAGAGGCACTAATCACGGCAGCACAAGAACAAGCTCTGAGTACAAGATCCATAGAGGCTGGGGTCCATCACACCAGGCAAGACCCCAGGTGTAGGGTGTGTCCAGCACATAAAGTGTGTGTGTGTGTGTGTGTGTGTGGGGTTTGGGGTGTGTGGTTGGTGTGTGTGTGCTGCTGTGATGGTGTTGTGTTGTGTTAGGGGTTTTGACTCGAATATTCCAAGATTCCTGCTATTTTAGAACATTTTTGTTATTTGTTCAAAATGATTCAGTCTCTCAGATCTTTTGCAGTTGTCAGTAGATTTGCTGACTCTTATCTCCCACATCAGTGTTTTAAAATATTATAGTTGGTATGAATTCTGCTTACCGACACTGAGCAGGATGAACGTTCGTCATTGATCAGGAACCTACACAAGTTAAATGAAGCTGCGATACCTTTGTCTTGGTCTTTGATGGAGATCTGGAAGTGCTGTGAGGGTGACTGATTCTTTCCATCCAGCAAATGGAAGACAAAGAAATCCTGACTTTGAGCAGCCCGACGGCCCGTGTTTACATAACGTAGAAGGTTCATGTCGACCATTTCTTGGGTGCAGTTCTTCCCAGCAGCCAGTGTGACCCAGCCCTGATTCTCCTGAGATCAGATGAGACATAGTTAGGAACACAGCAAATTCCTTGGTAAGGGAGTAATGGTCGGTCACCCTTGAGTCTTAAGATGCAGATGTAAAGAAACAACATGGACTTAAAGGAAAAGAATAAAAGTGCAAAAACAGAGTTGGCAAGGAGAACAACGTCCCAGGTGCCCTTATCCTTGTGATTTACAGCAGTATAATAAGTGCTGCAGACTTTTAACATCACCATCGTTTGTGTCTCAGAGACAAAAGCACCTGTTAAATTAAAACGTGCTGCACGTGGATGGTGCTGCACATCAGAGGCTCTCGATGTTTAAGTTGCTTCAGACTTATTGTGTATAAATTTAATCTCTTCTTCCACCAAACAAACTGATATATTTTATATGTGATAAAATGATACTGCACTAACTTTAAGCTGAAGCAGTCCTTGGGTTGGAACACTTTCAAACATGTACATGAGCTCTGAAGGAGGGGTATCACGGTCCTGTGCGAACAGTGACGCGCTGGATATCAGTCTGCTGTCACCTGGATCCACGTCTAGGCCGGCGTTCCTGAAGGACACAAGCTCGGTACAACGTTCACTTTGTTTTGCACAATCGATGCTGCACCGACTTTAAAGGAGGAAATGTTGGTCCAACCTGATAAGCTGGGGCTTCTCGTCGTTCACCTGCAGCACTTTAACCGTCACCTGTTTCAGGACGTGGTGCCGTCCGTCAGTCAGCTGGATGGTGAAACTATCCTCCACACTCTCAGAGTCGTCGTGCACGTACACCACACCCACAGCTGTTGGACAGTGACGAGCACGTTGTTTTGACTCAGTTCATTTATTTAAATTATTCATTTTTAATCAAATGTGCACATTAGTGGGTTTGTATTCGGTAACATGAGTTTATTTAAATATCTTTCATGTTGTTTGGATCATCTGTAGTAATGTAAAACATTTGTAAACTATTTCAGTCATAACTGAAGCTTTAACATGTAAAACATACCATTTATAAGATCCTCCACAGTAAAGGCAACCACAGGAAGCTGATGCTGGGCCTCTCGTTTCTCTCGCTCTCCACTGCTGTGGGCGATGATGCTGCCGTGTCGAGGGGGTGTGGCCACGCTAAAGAGCAACACATTCTTGGGGATGTCCAGATCCGTCGCATGCAAGACAGACGAGTCTAGCCGCTTCATTTGTCCTTCGTGTACCTTTACATAAACGGACGTGATGACCATGTTCAACGAACAGTCATGAGTACTATGATCAACAAGAGTTGATAAAAACTTACCGTGATGTTGTGAGCCACCAGCTCTGGCACTTCATCATTTGTGGGGTTTATAATGATGTAGAAAGAGACGTGGGCGGAGCTGTGTTTGCCGTCTGACACACAGAGCATCAGGTGGTCAGCTGTTGGCTCCACCCTCTGATGTCTGGACTGCACATAGTTGACATGACCCTCAGTGATGTCCTTGTATGAAAAAGAAGCTGAGAGAAAGCGGTTGAAATAAACATCAAATATTGACTCTGTGGTCACGTACAGCGAGACGCTCACCTGTGCTCACTCCTGTGTTGCTTTTCTCAAATCCCGGACTGGGGAGGACATTTTCAATGTAGCCAAACTGAGGCGGGGAGGTCAGGCTGATGACCAGCTCGTCCAGCACTGTGTCCACGTCGGAGGCTTTCAGGTGAGCCGCAGTAATGGGGGCCGTCCCACCTTCATTCACTTTAAAGATGTCTGCTACCAACAAGCAAACAGGGCGTCGATATCAACAAAGTACATTTTGCTTTTCCCTGAGTGACTAAAGGTGAGACGCTCACGTGTTTCTAGCGTAGGTGGTTGGCTGTCAACAGGAAACACGGTGATCTGCAGGTCGTACACGGGTAGCGTCTGCCTCAGGTGAGCGGTGCTGCTGGTCCTGACAGGACTCCCTCCACTGCAGCATAAAGCCAGCGTCTCCGTCTCTCCGTCAGAAATGACAAAGGTGACGGTGTCATGGCGAGGAGCGAGTCCGATCTCTACTTCTAAAACCACAAACGTGGTAAGAACCTTTAGAGGAGCAGCTGCGTCTCTGTCACACCTCAGTAACATTTATATCATGTGAACTGATAATTTGACAGCTTGGTGGGAGACCACAGACGGGAATCAGTCGAGGGTGACGCAGTATTTCCTGCTTCCACTGAGACTCTTCGGATTATTCTTTGTCAGTGATAGTTTCTGGTTTCCTGTTCTGTGTCTCAGTCTGCATGCTTCCTGTTTATTGTAATAGCCCCTGATGTGAGCAGACCTGGGGATGCCACCCGGAGTTTTTACATTATTCATGTTGATTTTGATATTACTGATCTTTTCTGGTCTTTTGCTTTCTGCTGTATCCCCTTGTCAAGTCCGCGTCTCCGTTATGTTTCCTGTTTTACTTTCTGTGTCTCAGGTTATTGTATCAGGTTTTGCTTCCCCTGTCTCGTTAGCCCTGATTTGCTGTGTATTTAAGCCCTGTGTGTTCCTCTGTGTTGGGATGTCCACTCTGTGTGTTCTGTCTGCTTAGTTTGTTTGTATTCTCAGTTTTGCCACTTTGAGCCGTGTCTGTCTTTGCCGTAAAGAACACAAAGAACCGGATTTAATACTAACAATAAATCTAAGTTTACTTTCCGCCTTTGAGTGTCTGCACGTCGGGTCCTCCTCACCACCATCATCTGCATAATATCCTTCTGAGAAAGGAAAAAGTCTCTTTCAGGTGAACTTTTTTGTGATTTCTGCCTCTTTGGAGGCCACATGAAACATCATTGTTTTAGCAGGTAGCTCACATAGGTCAAAAGACACAGACAGGGAACATAAACTAACAGTCTGGGTCGCAGGAGGATGTCGTCAAAAGATTTTGAAAATCTGAAGAAATTTGTGATCCAAAGACGAGACCAAACATCAGCTCTGATCAATGCTGAAACAAACATGACAAAGAAGAGCTCTGGACTGTCCTCGACATGAGGACAACAAGAGTTCAGCACCGGGTCTCCAGACGTGCATCAACTGCTGCTACAAGGAAAGATTCATTTCTTTCATTGAATTAAATACATTTCTCATATTTTCAATGTGTTTCATATATTTGAAATAAATGTGTGTTTGTCTGATTTACACATCATTGCAATATTTTACTTGTGTCTTATTCAGCGTCCCAGCTTTTGTCGGGGCTTTACATCATTATGACAGTGTTTGAGAGGCAGGTGAACCGGATGACACGAGGTGACATGTGTGCTACTGAAATTTCCAGACTGTGAGTACCGATGGCTGACAGGCACATCCTGAGGTTACATGTTTATTACCCATGACTGTGGTTTCTAAAAGGAGCAGAATGAGACCAGGTCATATCCAATCACAGAAAACGTTGATGTTACCAAGCGTTCAATGAGAGAAACTGGTCTTAAAATATGCTTCTAAGACCATCAGTCACATGAGATTCCTGATGTTACTGTTACCATCCATCCAACAGCATCAGCCATCACACTAATGACTTGCATATATCTATAATAGGTATACGACTCTTTCTCTGTTTGCACCTGTGTGTTTATATGTGACGATCCCTGCGGTGATGTCTGCCTGGATGAAGCGATCCACCGCTGCACCTTCTCTCAGCACCACACCGTGATGCGGCTGCTGCACAATTAGGAAGTACAGGCTGCTGTTGTCGCTGTCTCTATCAGTGGCATAGATGTACTCTGCGGTGAGGACTATTTCCTGCCCCTCTGCACAGCTGAGACCTGCTTTCAAACCTGCACCGACTACTGGGACCTCATCATTGATGGGCTTCACCTGGAAATGGACAAAGAGGGTGAAGCAAGTGCAAACTCTCTGTTTTGTGTTGGATGTTGGGCATTTCTTTAATTACCATCACTTGCAAAACAAAAATGACTGAGCTGGTCCCGTCTGTTGCAGTGAATTCAATGTTGTCCTGTGTAGTTTCTGAGCTGTCATGACTGTACCTATATGACAGATGAACACAGATATGACTTGGATGTGTCATCTTAACATGGAATCAGATGTTTAAAGTAATCACCTACAGAGAGGGTGAAGAGGACGGTGACTGAGGAAGAACAACAGTAAAAACAGAAGCGAGCGAGAGCGAAGACAATTTAAGATCCTAAAAATGAACCAATGAGTCAACAGCAAGTACAAATACTGCTATTATACAATAAGCCTGGTTTGTATTGATTGTGTTTGTTGAGGAAATGATGGAACATTTCATTAATCATGCAGAGTCCTGAGCACCAGCACCTTAAAAGGACACCTTGTGCTCACAGAGGCTCCTGTTGTCACTATCCAGCAGCAGCTACACCAGGTTACTTTAGATGCTTTATGGTAGCAAGATAAGATTGGAAACTCCAGATACTGGGATGCTGCATGGATGCTCCATTAAGACAAGCACATGACTGCATGATCCTGAGAAAGGAATAAACTGTTTCTGCAAAAGCTGGCAGTGCAAATGAAAAACTGCAGACAGAGGTGATCGGCTGTATAAGAAGATTATATGTGCAAGCTCCAGAACGCAGTGTAGGAAGACGTAATCCCAATCGTTCCTATACATGCAAGAGACATGCAAAGCATTTTAAATCGTCAGCGGCAAACAGAACTAAGATCGTCTGACCGAACGTTGTGGCTTTGCAGATCTTGCAGAGTGAAGCTTTGCCCTGGTTTCATCAGGAGGCCACTGAGATGCAGAGCCCCATGCTGGGGTTCCCTCTGCAGCTCCACCCGCAGAGCTTCTTCTGAAGAGTCTTCATCCGACAGCAGCAAGTGTTCAGGGCCAAGCCTGCACTCCCCTCCCTCATCTACGGTCAGAGGCTTGGAAACAACCTGAAGGAGAATGTAATCACGTTTATTTTATGCATTCACATTGCTGCATGTGATAAAAGATACGAATGTGATCGTTTTCTTTTCCACCTGTGGCGGCTGGTTGTCCACCGGCTCTACAGTGATGTTAAAGCAGATCCCAGTGACTGTTTTACCTCGATGGTTGGTTACAGAGAGAACAAACTGGACTTGCTGGGGGTGCGGGCCGATGTCCATGATAGGAGGCATGTAGGCTACTTTCATGAAGTTTACTGCATGCTGCAAACAGGAAGGAACCAGAGTTTTGAGCCAGACCACATATGTGCTTGCAACATCTACCTGACTAAGAAATAAAGGTTTACCTGAGTGAAGACCCTCAGCATTGGCGCGTTGGCGTCTTTGGTAAATTTGGGTATGCTGTCGACCAGAAACAGCCTCCCCGCGTCCGGATTGCTGCTCAGTAAGACGACAACACAAAGACAGCAAAAATTCAGACCGAACATTTCCCCACAGCAGGTTTGTGAAGCTGAGGCGACTCACCTGTGGGGACGAGAGTAAAAAGGTGGAGTAGTCACAGTAAACGTGAGCTCTCTGTCAGCTGACTGCTGGTCTACAAAGTGGAGCTGCTGCCGTGTGATGTGGACTACGTCCGTTTCTTTGAGCACAAGACTCCGACTGGAACCTGGAACCTCTTTAGGAGGTTTGTCGGGAACCGGCTCCACGTGCACCATCACCACCTCCAAACAAACAAGCAAATAAACAACAAAGAATCTGACGAGATAGGTTATGTATGCGCCCCATGTGCTGCCAGTGCACGTTGTGTGGGGCACTCTGGGCTGTGTTCCTGGACATCATGTGAAATCAAAGACAAAGGGAAGAGTTTCAGCTTCTTTTTTCATGAACTTTACAAGGAAACGAGATTTCACTGTGTTCACCTGTTTAGCCAAGAGCCGTTTAAAAACGTATCCATAGATGTGAAGCTCTCTGCTGCTACATTTAGAGGTTAGCTTAAGAATGAGGAGTATTTAGTCTTTGGGGAATATAGATAAATGTGACTGAGCTGTGTCAGAGCAGCCTGGTGCTTCGCTCAATAGTACATCCTCATCCAAACTAAATTACAGTATCTTTACGGTGAGACAGTGCTACACACCTGAGCCTCTGATAGGTTGGGTGGGTCATGGAAATCAGACAGTACCACCTCAAACCAATCATCAGACACCTCATGTCCAAGATGACGATAGTAAACCTTTGACTGAGACAGGTCCTTCTGCAAAAAGTGGCTGACAGGGTAACCTGGATTAAAACCAGTACGTACGATACGACGTGGTTAGAACACAAAGAGACGCTCGGTACGATACAAGTATAAACACATGATTAATTTTCCGACCTGTTTTCCCTGGTCCAGGAATTTTCATAACCTCTCCTGACTGAGGGGGGCGGGTAATGTTAAAGAGGATGTAGTCATCACTGGAGTCCATGTCAGAGGCCTGAAGGATGGAGCCTCTCAGCAGAGCTGTGTGGCCTTCAGGGACCTCCAGCAGCATGTTGGTGATAAGAAAAGGAGGCGTGTCATCCTTGGGGAGGATCTTGATGGGGAACTTGTGCCGGGTCTGATGATGACCGTCAGTGATGCGAAAGATTATGAAGTCTTTGGTGGAGTCACTGTCGTCATGGTGATAGCAGACCACTCCCCCTTTTATGTCATTGACAGTAAACATGAAGCCCTTTGTACCTGGAATCATATCAAACAATTACAGTCAAACAGATACAGATACAGGCAGCATCCGAACCAAGACGTCAGTGCAAATATGACCAAATGGTGACGTGTGAAACTGTGCACGGGACAGATCCCACTGTGGGGGTCAAACACTGGCTGGGTGATAACACTGTTCCCACAGACAGCTCCAGACAGACTAAGCAAGAAATGCAACAATGTTTCCATAATTTCATTTTTTCAACAAAATGGACAAAAAGATGACATCAAACAATTTTTGAACACCAACTTTCTCCGGCTTAAGTGATGGAGGAGCTCAAAGGCTCATATGAAATGTGAACAGGTCTCTCATTTAGATTCAGCTGAGACTACACAATGACACCATTCGTTTGTTAGCATTGCAACACTTTCTGTCATGGAAATATGTTTCTGATCGTCTGCAGAGGAATGGTTTATTTGAAGAGTTTCAGTCAGGTTTCTGAGCTCAGCACAGAAACAGCTTTAGTGAAGGTTACAAATGATCTTCTTATGGCCTCTGACAGTGGACTCATCTCTGTGCTTGTCCTGCTAGACCTCAGTGCAGCATTCGATACTGTCGACCATAATATCCTATTAGAGCGATTAGAGCATGCTGTAGGTATTACAGGTACTGCGCTGCAGCTGTTTTTCACAATCTGTGTGTTTATACAAATCTCTGTATTTAATTGTTAGTTATTATTAACCTCTCTTCCACAGCGTGTCTTTGTCCCGTCTTCCTCACCTCAGCCCCAACCCGTCGCAGCAGATGGCCCCGCCCCTCCCTGAGCCTGGTTCTTCCTGTTTTTCCCTCCCACTGGTACCAAAACGTTTGTTCATGGGTTGAGTTTTCTCTGTTTTCTCTCTATTATTGTACGGTCTTTGTCTTACAGTGTAAAGCTCCTTGAGGTGACTGTTGTTGTGATTTGGCGCCATATAAATAAATTGTGTTAGCACCTCTGACTGTTAGCCGTCCATGCTGCAGGCCGTCCACAGTTATGATACGAACGGCATCCAGGTTGTCGTTGTCCACGATCTGAAGCTGTTCCCACGTTATTGGACGAGACTGACCCTCCAACAGGCTGAGACCTACAAACCAAAGTGTTAATGGTTAAAATGCATGTAACTGGTCATTCTGGAGGACACCAGCAGCACCAAAGACGGAAAGATGAAATGTCTTTCTATATGTTTACAGCAAATTACAAACATCACTTTGTTTTCTTGAACACCAAAACAATAACCTGACAGTCTATATTTTTAGTTCTGTGAAGGTTCTCAGTCATCCAGGTCATCGTAGTCAAAGGAGCTTGCAAAGAAAAGCGTCTGGACTTCTTTAAGTTACTTGAAGACGTTTCACCTCTCATCCGAGAAGCTTCTTCAAGTCCAGACGCTTTTCTTTGCATGCTCCTTTGACTATATTTTTAGTTATAACCAACCAGAATGCTCAGGTCATGTGACAGTGATGACGTACCCATGTTCCAGGACACCCTTGGAGCGTTTGTGTCTGCAGTCCTTACAGACATGTGAACAGTAAGTGGTGGGCTCTTCTCAAAATAAAAGTCATGAACTTCAAACTCCACCTGTAATTAAACAGAAGCTTTACACACCAGGACACAAAGACATAATGCATGAAAAAAGAGCAGTAAAGCTGGATGTGCTGACCTCATAATTCCTGCGTTGGTTATGAGAGAAGTTAGCAGGCTGATATCCAATGAGCATGTCATTGAGATCAAGCCACGTGAAGGAGGAGACTGGGCGAGTGTGGTCAGACAGATGTGTGATGAAGCCGTCCTGAGGAGGTGTCGTGACGTTAAACACTAAAAGCTGTTTGGGAGTTTCTTCGTCGTCAGCATCCAGCGTAGCAGTGGACAGCGGAGTAAGGATGAACTGGTCGACTTCCAGAACAAACGTGGACATGTAGGCTGGTGTGGGAGGCTGGTTGGGCATTGCACCAGTGATCTGCACTGGGATCCAGGCCTGTTCAGACTTAAAACACACCAGGAGAAGAATTTTCTATCAAATGTGTAATTCATGGAAACTTAAAGTGAAGTACATATAAGGTGTATAATTACCTGATATATGCTGCCACTCCTGGTGTCCTTCAGATCCAGTCTGACTGCAATGTAATCCACATGTGGAGATGGAGGGTCTGTATGCTGATACCTCAGCCCCATCACCAGGAAGTCCTCACAGGAAACTTTGGTGAGCTTCACCAGCTTCAGACCCTTCAGGCAGTCTTCAGATCGACACGTTGCTCTGGCTTTGTTGTCTACATGATGACACGACACGTAACCATGACCAAACCATAACATCACCATCTGGATTTTGGTTACATTCAGTGTGACACCTCAAGTAGCTGCCATGCCAAAGGCAAATATAATGAAAATATTGTTATGGACGGTGCTCCAAATTGGTATATCTAAAACTGATTTGACATCTCAGTGAAGATGACTTTGCGTTTACATAATTCAGTGTGTTCGACATTCTGTGAGCTTCAGTCACACCAACATCTGATCAGGTCATCCTGGAGTCCAGGTCAATGTTCATTTCATGTTTTAGATGTATTCACAAGAACATGAAGGCCGGGCGTCCATGAAATGCCTCGTGCACTGCTAGCTGCTCTCAGTGAAGCATAAAAATGACTTTTCCTCGTTATTTTATTTTGATTTTAGGATCTAATATTCAACCAGTGTCATGGATTACCCAGCTGCTGACGCAAATGGATGAAAGTCTCAGGCTCATCCCCTCTCCTGGTGGCTTTCTCTGGTTCCCCTGTGACCAGCTGCCCGTGGGTTGGCAGATGGGTGTCGTGACTATTCAGATGGATGCTACAATCCAAGCTTGACCTGCTTTCATAGTGGAAGGAGACCACATTTCCATCCACAGCATTCGAGAGGCTGTAGAACTCGGGAACCTCCAGGGATTTTGGCCCCAACCTAATGATGGTGCACTCAGGTTCCATAATTTCTACATGGATGGCAAAGACCTCCATGTATGTCTCTGTCTCTGTGAATCTGATGTCAAAGAAAAACAGACCTTCACAGATAACAAACTGTGTCCCAGTAAAGAGTCTTGTAAAAAGGAAATGATTCAGAAATGTGTTTCTTCATGTGTGAAATATACAGTCTCTTTAAAAGCCTGCATGAAGGACTTCAGCAGATGTTTACCTGTACAGGCGAAGCTTGACAGTGTCTTCTGTCAACAATGGGCAGCCGTTGTGGACGTACTTTACTTCATCAGCCAGATAATCACAATCAAACACCTGTGAGGTGAAAACCACCAAGCACAACGAGTCAAAGCCATCGTCACTGAACAAACATGTTTCATCATACAGCTCAAGTTTTTCACAGTAAGTTTATTTGCAGCATTTTTGGCTCTTTTCAGAAATGTTTCCTGGGTGCTGCTTTAGCTCAGCGTCATGGCGACTACATGTCACATGTCTGAGCTGCAGATCACTGCTGTGGGTCTTCCCCCTCTACTTCCCCACAGTGTCCTGTCTAACTTTACACTATTCAACAAAGGCAAAAGAGTATATATCTCTATATATATCTCTAATTAAACAGAAAATAAATAGAAACGGGGGTTTTCTAAGACCTGACCTATAACTGGACAGTGTAAGAAAACCACACTGAGCGGTTGGAGGTGAAATTTGTCTGAGATCAACAGAGATCAGCCTCTGGCAGTCTGAACAACACCTGAATAACATCAAAACACTGTCCATTCAGTTTTTTCTCTTCTATACTTTGGCAACCAGGAAAGATTTATTTTTTCAATAGGAACAATATGGCAATGCTATATTATTATTGTTTATTTATTTACTTTATTTTAAATTATTACAAATTGGACAATCACAGAGAAAGAGAGGAAGAGAAACAGAGGGGACAGTAAGAGAAAATCTGTTGGATCACCTGTTAAAAGAAGAACAAAGAGAACAACACAGAGATGAGAGCAACAACCTGCACAGGTATAAGTAACAGTAAATACTAAATATTGAATGTTATTGAGCAGCACGCAACACGGACAGCGCACGATGTGCTTTAAAGCAGCCAAGGAAGATAAAGTCTGTGCGTGAGCTTGAGTTCAAAAGGTTTCTCCGTGTAACATCTGCTAGAGGGTGTGGGAAGCTGTAGCCCCGCCCCCCAGAGCATGACGCAGATATGGAGGAGACCCGGGCCAGACATCCAAAGGCCCCCCAGAGTGTGAAAGCCCAAGAAGGACCACCGGAGAGGCTACTGCGCCACCTTCCTGGTAGGAGCTGAGGACAGACGTGGGGTCGCCCAGCAGCCACGGAGCAGAAGCCACAGCAGGCTGCGGTGACGAGCCCGTGGGCTCTGCAGCCCGCTGCAGGCTGCTGTGGCGTCTGGGGTTCTGCTGGCAGTCGTGCCAGAGCGGACCGAGCCCATCCATCCATTTTCTGCTGCATATCAGGAGACAGGCTATGGAGGAAGAAGCCTCCCAAGGACGCCGAGTATTGTGATCTCCCTTATAGTTGAAGCACACTTTCACTCAGCCTTCTTGAAGATGGGAAACACCACCCCTCACTCCTCCTTTTGACAGCTCCTTTCACCTCTGGTGTCTTCCATTAGCTCAACAGACACCAGCAGGCAGTTGCGTCACAGCGTTGTGGGGATCACGCTGCATTTGGAGTCAGCGTTCCCAGCCTCCTTTGGAATGCTGTAGCAACTCTGCCTGAGCTGGAACTTGATGCCTCTGAACAAAGGCTCCCAGAGACCCTGACTGTGTTAGGGCCTGTCCCACCCCCACCACCCCATCACCAGTGATCAGTTTGATCAGCTGACAGCTCACCTCACATGCAGATCATCTGATGAAACAAACCAGATTCTGTCCTTCAAGCTCCCACCTGGATCCAGCCTGGGGCCTAGAAAACTCTGTCCCAGACTGGGTAAACTGGTCCCATGGTTGTTTTGTCACTGGGCTTTTATAAGACTATGTTAAATTAGTTTATAATTAATGATTAAATGATTATCAATTTCTAATCATTATTATTGGGAATGCCAGAATAGTGAGTGAGAAGCTGATATAAACAGTTTCATTGTGATGTTTAAGTAGCTGCTCCGTCACTCATCATGTCATAATTACTGTTTTATACAATTAAAAGAAATACTAATGGATCAAATTCACTTTTGACGTGAAATACTACAACTGGGTGTTCAGTGGTCAATAAGAAGTTTAGTGTGAAACATGACGTCCAATAACAGCTTTGCTTTTATTACCTGAGGCACCAGTTTTCCTACTCGCTGAGTTATGGGCTCATTCACCACCACCTCCAACTTGCACGAATCCTTCTGATGGGGAATGTGGAACTGCAAGTCCTCCACATGAAGGTAGGCCGATTGGCCTCGTTTCACTTTTAACCCCTTGTTGACTTTTACAAGGGAACCATGCAATGCACAGGTTATTTCAACCAAAAGCAGAGGAAGGCACATCCAGGCCAGGAGTCGAACAGGTGAACCCATTGCTGTCAGTCACAAGCCAACGTCTCGAGGATCCTTCAGGCCTGCAGCAAACAAGAGCACGATCACCTTCAGGAAAATGTTTCAGTTCAACTCTTCAGCCAATGAAAGGATCCCTGCTGGACTTTACTCTGGCTGCATGCTGATTCAGCTTCCTGGCTTTGAGCTTGTGCCAGGCGGGAGGATGAGTCAGGAACTGCAAAGGAAGCGAAAAGATTTCAGTTCAAAGCATTTCATACATGAAGAGTGTCAGTATGACCCCTGACCTCTGTGGCACCATCAGACTGTAGGTGGGATGGTAATGGGAAATAAAGTGAACAGGATATGATGACACTCATGATGCTGTGAGCATATCATTTCTAGCTAGTCACCAAAATATTTGCAGAGTCTCCAGTGAGTTGCTTCAAGACAGTTTGATTCCCAAACAGGGCATCAGCCACTGATGATGGAAACGTTTGCCTTTATGTGTTATCAGTGTTGTTCCTGGGGACTCTGGTCCCAGACGCCTCCAGAGCATCAGGCTCTTTCAGTGAGGATCTTTCTGATGATCATCCACACCCCATGAGGCCAGATGTTCCCAGGAGCTCCAGACCAGAGTGATTAATGGTTCTTTTACATTTCTTCTGTTTCTGAATGACTGCACCAACAGTTGTCACCTTTCCAACAAGATCTACAACCCTGACATCCTTTGACCAGTCTTTGGTCAGGTCCATGGTGGTGGAGAGGCTGGGGGGGAAAACACCATCATTCTGTGGACAGATGTGCTTTCTCCAGCGGCTGGGTGGAGATCAGGAGTATCTGTAATGGAGCCAATCACAGCCTGCAAATCATTGGAACTTTTATATGACGTGTTTTTGGATTTGTGGGTGATGTTCTCTCCATTAAAACTAAAGATGCAAATGAGTGATTGTTCATTTCTTTCTAATTTATAAAGGGTTCAAATAATCATTTCCCCCAAGCTGCTGGTCACACATCCTGAATAAGACTGCGAGAAAGACCCTCCACCCACCCACCAACTAACCCACTGAGTAATTATGTGCTCTACAAATGAAAACGATTGAAAACATGATGCTGATATAAACTTACACTATTGGGTCTAAATGAACATGTCAAACCAAACAAGCAGCTCCAAATGAAACAGGTGTAATAGAAGCTTTCACCTTGGACATGTTTCAGTATGAATGTTATCTCTGTCACTCCTTTGTAGCTCCATCAGTGGCACCAGAAACAAAGAGCATGAAGCTGGAGTAAACACACTGGCGCTTTGTGAAACCAGCGACACAAAGCTGTTTGTGGTTTTGGTAATTATAAGTGAGGGAACAGCAACGAGACAGCTCCAGACATGTTTGGGACACATACGCCTGCTCCTGCCAAACTTCTTTAGGACAGCTCCAGTGGGAAAGGCTTCATTAACCCAACTGCTAAATAAATTCCTACAGGATGCTTTAGATTGTTAGTGTTTTCACATGCTGCCCACTTTAGCTTACACAGACTGTCTCGTTTCTGGAGCCGTTACTTTTCCACAGTAATCAATACAGCTTAGTCCTGTCTGACTGTCGATCAGGCTGAGGATGCAGATCAGAGCTGTTCAGTATCTGAAAGCTGATCTCAACCCTCCACATTCTTTCAGCGTGTTCCTCAGGTAGGACAGCTGTCCCAGACCTCACACACGAAGCACCTTATAATCACCCTCTGTGCAGGGAACATGCTGCAGCTTGTCCCGCATGTGTGGGAGCTGTGTGGGAAAACTGGATTTCCACTGGTCAGAGCTTTAGTGTGTCTCAAGAAAGCTTTTCTGATTGTTCATCCTCAACCTCTCGATGTAGTACTACGCATTTAAGAGAGAAAGCTCCCCAAAGTGCGCTGGTCCAGGTAAAAATGAAACATTTGTTTTGCAAAAGCGTGTGAAGTTACAGTGTGTGCTTTAACCGGGTAGAAAGATGAGGTGACAGCACAAAGCTGTACTTTCTGTCCTCCTGTGTAAATACTCTCCATGTACAGTCAGCATAGATTTCCAATGATGCCGATCAGATGTATAACAACACAGAGCAGTTGAGTAAATGATGGACCTTTATTCTGAAACTTCAGTGAAACCCAAGTATCCTCCTGAGCCTGCTGGAGGTTTCTTCCTGTTAAAAGGGAGTTTTTCCTTCCCACTGTCGCCAAAGTTCTTGCTCACAGGGGGTCACATGATTGTTGGGCTTTCTCTGTATGTATTATTACCTTACAATATAAAGCACCTCGAGGCGACTGTGTTGTGACTTGGCGCTGTGTAAATAAAGTTAAATTGATTGTTATTAGAGATGCAGTGCGCCCCTCTGTCATTCCTGGTTGTCGGTCAGAGATCTTCTCTCTGTGGTTTTGTTCACCACACTGATGTAATGAATTCCTCTCATAACAATTTATAATCTGGTGCACACAATAACTATTGATGAGCTTCACAAACTGACCGACATGCTTTGAGCTTCCAGTTTTCATTTAGTTTGAACAATGCTTTGCAGAGTATATAACAGCTGTTGTTCAGAACTTTTGTTTATTTTTAAAAGATGTATTTGTTGGCTGCAGTCGTGCGATCAGACCTCCTCAGACACAGCTCAGGTCAAAGGTGCTGGAGTGGAAAAATGCTGCTGTGCTCCAAATGTTTTTCAAAACGACGACAGCTGCTACAAAATGTGTTTGCATGTCAAGTACACAGCTGTAAATATGCAGCACACATCTGTACCTGCAGACAGATACTGTGTGTTCGGGTACAGTAGCTAATGGAGCGTGATGACAGCAGTTTGCTCTGTGTGGATGCACAGAGTCTCTATAATGAAACTACAGAACCATCCTGGACAGAGTCTGGACACGGACCTTATCCAACAGCTTTGGACAGCCAGAGCTCATCACTCAGCATCAGTGTTGTGGAAGAGATGGAGCGGACAAACAAAGCATGGCAGGACAGATAACTGTCCAGGACTACATGGCGCTGCATGATGCTGATGTCTGTGTGTCGAGTCCTCTCACAGAGCTGGATGTCTCTGTGCCTGATGTGCATCAGTGTGGAGGCAGGAGTCCTGGGAAAGGTCCAAGTGTTATGCTGCCTGCAGCACTTTGGGTTGATCCTCTTCCTGTTTTGGCTCTTGTGTTACAGTCCTTACACAGTACATCAGCAAGACATGATCTGTCTGCTGTCCACTCCTGAACCACAGGCTGTGGTGATCCTGACGGATGATGGTGGGGGACACACAACAAGCTGACATGTGGTGCGTCTCCGATAAGGTCATAAAATATTCTTAAGGTCAAACAGCATTTCATAATCCCTTAAATAAGATGAGGACCTCCCTGGTTTCTTTTCCAAGCCCAGCACACAACGCTGATGTGTAACTGCTCCATTCATTCGTCTCATCGTCTCATCGACATAATGACGGGACCTTCAGCAGCCAGCGCTTTTTAAAGCCACGAGGGGAAAAAGGTAACGCTGTTGAAATCACAGGCTGCTAACATGTCACTGCCATTGAGTAGAGTACAGCAAAATGTCCAAGAGACTGCATATAAGTGAAGGAAGAAAGAGGAGCTCAGAGTGATGAATCTGTGCACAGCTGAACATCATGCAGGACACAGCACGAGCATGTTTTTGTTGTCTGAAGCTCATCATCCTCCTTAAATGCACAGTTAGTAATAATTACGAGTTTTAACAAGTTTTATATGGAGCACGTATCCTGCTGTATTCAAGCTCAGTGCAGTCCTCAGATTTAAGGTGAATGTCAGCACAATAGCATGCACACATGAAGACAGATGTATGAAGCTAAAAAACACACAAGAACAAAAGGAGATGAAGAAGACGTGCAAGACAACAGCACAAGGTCCTCCAACAAAGATCACCACTTAAACATGTTCTTACCTGAACAGCTGGCACTTCCTTCCTTCTCCTCTCAACTGCCTCATTGAAAGAATCTGGCTCCTTTCTGGGTAACAAACTCCGCCCCCGAGAGACAAGTAGAGACGCCTTCCTCCTCTTGCAGCCAGAGTGGAAACACTCTGACAGCCAGTGTGTAGTAGTTTGTAATTACTGAACGAAAGCACAGATTAAAGGCTTCACAGGGCACTAATGTAAAGAAGTGCCTCTGGGTAATACATGACCTGGATAGTAGCTGCTGCTTACCTGCAGGGGGCAGCACCATGTTCCAGTTGTATAACATCATACATGCAAAGCCACACAACTCCAGGAGGAAAAGCAGCTGGTGTTTTGTTTCCAAGGATCACATAGCTGATGGATCCTCCTCTCCAGCACTTCCCAGGGAAGCTGAGGATCTGCTTGAAGTTTGAGCCCAGAGAGAGGCTGTGCTAATTTAAAGGCACTGTCCCAAACTTGATGCTGTAAAGGGATGTCAAACAAGACACCACGACAGCCACGTAAGCAGTGAGGTGTAAACACTGAAGGGGAACGTGGGTCCATGTAGCAGTCCAGGTGTGCTCCCACAAGCTGGAGGCCTCTTCTGTTACAATGCAGCCTTCTTACCATCATCAGGTGAGTAGAGAATGATGTTTGATCTGTAACTAATAAACTCTCTTCTAAAGCAGCCACATATTCATAAAGATGCTTTCATTGCATTTATTTCTGCTTAAATGTATCAAGACTGATTAATGGAGAGTATGTGTGGTGAGTCACATGGCCATGGTTTCCAGTGCATCGGCCCACTGGTTGGTTGTTCAGAGAGTGCAGCACTGTGCTTCATTAAACTCCATGTGAAGGTATTTTCGAGGGGAAGTAGCATTCCTCAGGTTCACTAAGCTCTGACAGCTCCTGGGGTTCCTGCACACACTGTTACGCTGCCGGGTGGACTGTCTGCAGCAGCGCAGCAGAAGTGCTGATATCTGACCCTCTCGGATAAAGGTGGAAACAATGAAAGTGAGAATGGCTGGACGAACACATTTGGAGGTTTCGGATGTGGCGCTGGGTTTCCTCCTGCTGTGCTCTGTAACGGGCTTGTTGTTGATGGATCAGCAGAGAAACGCCGAGGATGAGCAGGAGCTCGACAAAGCTATTCTGGAAATGCTGCATATCAACAAAGTGTCAGCAAGCCACCATGCTAAACCACATCCTTACATGAGGAAGGTTTACCAGAAGCTGGACACGCTGGAGGTGCAGGATTTGGGGAAATCAGACGGGACGCTGGTGCAGGGGTTTCGGAGTGTCAGCGGTAAGGATTTCAAAGTCTTCCTTTAACACAGTAATCCTTTACATGTTGCTTTGACAATAACGATATGATCAAAGACCGTGATCTGCAGTAAAGCAAGAAAACAGCAAGTTCCCCGTGTGTGGATGAGGAACTGGAGCATGGTGTCATGTAAGGGTTCGTATGTTTCACTGGAGCACTTGCAGAGCGACTGTGGCCACAAACATGGCCGTGCAGGGCTTCAAGGTCCTGCACGTCCAGCTGACAGCACATGAACTGTAAGGGTTCTGCTGCCAATCACAGTGTCATGCTTGCAGTGCCTTGTAATTAATATTAATGAAATGCAGTCAGTCCCTTTCACACGTGCAAACCTCAAGTCAACATTAAAATGTTGCCTTCAAAAGCAGCTTAATTAGTTGGGTATTGTAGCGTTTAAGAATAATCACAGAGCCAATCCTGCAGTTTTAAGGTGGAATCTTTAGTTATCAACAGGTTAAAGCACCATTTGTGCCAAAGCAGCTAAAATGAGAAACATGCGCATTATTCCAGTCTGTTAATCTCACAGAGACAGTTCAGCGAATCAGCTGAAGTAGCATCATTCAACACAGACACTGGGAAATCCCACTGCCACTCCACAGACCTGTAGCACAACAAACTGGTGCTATAGCTGTTTTTTGAATTCCCCCTTAGTCGTGCAGACTCACCACAGAGCTTCATGTATCCCTGTTTCATGAGTGGAGAGGAGCGTAGTGGCAGCCATGCTGTTCATATCCATGCGTGCTGCTGGAGGCCACACAAAGCCTGCATAAAATAACTTTTTCCAGCAAACTGTTCTGTACCATCCTCCCCCTCCTCTTCATCCTCCTCACTCCACTAATAACAACAGTACAGCCCACTGCTCAGTATAGTTATGTGAACTCATCATCATCAGCGTGGCTACAGGACAGCTTTGTAGCTTTGGTCACTTTAAGTGTAGGCGTGAACATTAGCTTATAGCTGTGCTCCAGCTGAACACAGCTGCACATAGACAGGTAACATCTGGATCTGGAGCTGAAGTCCAACTGGACCAGAACAGGAACAGAAATGTTTTAACAAACTACAATAATAAAGCGCATCAGCTCCTTGGCTGGTAACGAGCACACGAGCGGATCTTTTATCATCTGCAGTGATTTTCGATGTTTTTGATGCTATTTAGAGGACAAATAAAACTAAGCTGACACTTTGTGAGCCACAGCAACATCCCTGCGTTATCAGAACAGCTTGAACTGTTGCTGTATTTCACTTAAGGTGTGTTTTAAATTTGCATCACTGACGTGTGACATGAAGTAACCGCTGCATCTTCTTTCTGCTGCAGCAACAAACGTCTTATTGTTCACGAGAAACCCTGACGTTGCATGTTTGGCCTTGAGTTTGGACTTCCTGTATGGTCCCTCTCGTCACTGTCATGTGCTCCCTCTGATAGTGTTTCCTTTAGTTTCTCTGCTTTCAATGTCTTCACATGCAGACAGAACGATCTTCAGATGTTTCTACTGAAATCTGCTCATCGCTGCTGCTGTAAAGTTTCTCACCACCAAGAGAAAAAAGACGACATGCAGTGCTGATTTTTCTATTTTGTTTTTAATTCTTCAAATGAATGAACCTTTGGTGCATATTTACAATCATCTTTGAAGAATACATCGGACTTCAGTGATTCTGAGCCTTTACAGGGGCGGAGCTGTGTGAGTCCTTCTAACACTCTGTATTTGATGCTTTGCAGGCCCGCAGGGATGGATCTGGTTCAACATCACCAGCTTGAGCCCCTTCATGATGGGTGCAGAGCTGGTCCTGTTCAGGAAAGCCCTCCACCCTCAGCCGCTCAGCGTGTCTGTCACTCTGCACAGTGTCATTGCTTCACGAGGACGCCTGGACGAACGTCCCGTCCTGGAGGAGAGACAGCTGGCCCTGGACCAGCGGCCGCCGTCCGGCTACGACGTCTTCGATGTGTCTGCTGTGCTGACTGCGAAGCCCGTGGAGGCTCTGGGCTTCCAGCTGCGCTACACGGATGAGAGCGGGAGTCTGGTGCTCCATGAAGCCCTGACACAGAGTCTGTACTGTCTCCACAGAGGCTCTCTGAGCGAACCCTTACTGGTGCTCTACCAGGCACACCCTCGCTCGCTAACATCAGTCTAATGTAGGTGGAGCCGCCCACCTATGGCTTTAAAGCTACTTTACACGTCACAGACAGTCACGTAGGAGCACGGCAGCACTGAGGCGGGAGCTCTGGACATTTCTGAGGTTAAATTGTGCTCAAAGATTTTTAGGTAACATTTGCATTTTGTTTTTGTAAGACTGCTTAATATTAATAATGCACATGTAATTATTCCCTGGGGAACAGCTCGTGTGCTGAATCAGTATTAGGGAGCTGACACTGTGGCCTGCATCAGAGGATGATGTAAACATCAGCAGCGTCTGCAGGCGGCTCTGTTCTGTGTCAGCGGAGCTGCTACGTCAGCAGCTGGAGCTCTGTGGTGTAAAGCTGTTACTGTCTTCTTCATGTCAGCTGTCTTTACACTCGCACAGATCCTCTGCCGCTCACGCCTCACATGAAACGACTGTTCCTAAATGTTCTTCTGCCTATTACATCACTTCTATCCACTGTTGCTTTGACCTTTAACCTCTCTTTAGAACTGAACTGAAATAAACCCTCAGCATAAAGAACGAACTGTGGCTGTGCTTGGTTTCTGCTGACTGTGGTTACCGTGATGGAAAACTAGTCAACATGTTAAAGGAACTAGTCAAAGGGAAAATGAGTTGGTGAGGAAACAATATGTGTACACATCCTTCCTTGATATACAGAAAAGGAAATGAAACGTTTTAAGGCTGACGACAGATCCTTGGAGAGATTTGAAACTCACTTTAACGGAACAGAAACAACACATCGGGAACAGAGAGAGATGTGCCAGCATTGTCCCGGCTCGTAGGAGGAGCTGTGTGGCTGCTCTGATGTGAGGAAGCTTCATTAATGGAGGTGGTAAATACACAGCGACAAACAGAACTGAGTAAACCTAAACTGGGAAAACTAAAGAGCTGAAATGATAACCGAACGGGGAGAAGGACAGAGAGACGCAGGGAAACCACTCAGGATGACGGAGGAGATTAATGCAGACGAGCAACAGGCAGCAGAACACACAGGGCATAAATACAAACAGCAGTAATCAACACACCGGGGAAATCAGAGCTGACGGGGCAGAGGAAATGTAACCTGAACACACTCACATGAGACAGAGACCTTCAGAGTAAAACAGGAAACTCACAGACACAGAGAACCAGACAAGACACTGAACTAAACAGACAGATCCACAAGCAGACAGAGTGACACCACAGACAGAAGGAACTCAGAGAAGTGTGAGCAGGCACAGAAACCTAACAAATGGCAAACCTCAACAAAAGATATAACAGAATAAACAAGAACAGAATAATATAAAGAAACACAAAACACCGAGTCGTCAGACTCAGGACCATGACAAGCAGGTATTACAGGTACTGCGCTGCAGTGGTTTGTATCCTATCTATCTAATAGACTCCAGTTTGTGCATGTAAATGGAGAGTCCTCTTCACACACTGAGGTTAATTATGGAGTTCCACAGGGTTCAGTGCTAGGACCAATTCGGCTAACACGAAGGAAACACGGATAGCAAACAAACAACGGCCCTGATCTACGCCGGACAAGTGCAGCGCATCTCCGCCGCTCCCGACAAGTGAAGGCGGCAGGAGGCGGGGCCAGAGCGACGGACAGTCGGAGGTGATTGGTTAGAACGACACAAAGGCAGGACAGTCTACCAATAGGATCCAAGGAACACTGATGTACTTCCGTGTCGTTATTCCAGCGATCGTTCCAGATCAAACACTAGTTTGGAAAATTCTCCTGAATGTGTTTAATGAAGACGCGCAAACTGTCCCGGGATTACACGGAGAAGCCTTAAAGCGCGCGGACAGGAAGCGTTTCACCCACAGTCGTGTCAGACCCACGGAACCAGATCAAGACCAAAGCTTATGACATTCATGTTTGGAGAGAAACGACACACACATTTATACACAGTAGAAATCTCAATGCTGCAGCTTCTTTCTCTCCAGGAGCCCACAGCAGCTCATACGCTGCAGCAAAACTATAATCATAGTCAAATGTTTTGCTGCAGTCACTGAGTCTGTGGAAGAAACACGGGGCCTCGCTCTGTTCCGCGTGGACACGTCCAGTTAAAACAGCTGGTGAATAAATAAAAACATGTTTCTGGTTGATTTTCAGATTCATGTGAAGTTATTGGATCATCTGATGCTGGTATTGATACATGTGTTCTCTATGCCAGCACATATTGATACATTCAGTTCAATCCAACTTTATTTATATAGCACCAAATCACAACATCAGTCATCTCAAGGTGCTTCATATTGCACAGTAGACCCTACAATAATACATACAGAGAAAAACCCAACAATCATATGACCCCCTATGAGCAAGCACTTTGGCGACAGTGGGAAGGAAAAACTCCCTTTTAACAGGAAGAAACCTCCAGCAGAACCAGGCTCAGGGAGGGGCGGGGCCATCTGCTGTGATTGGTTGGGGTGAGAGAACATGCTGTGGAAGAGAGACAGAGGTTAATAACAGATATGATTCAATGCAGAGAGGTCTGTTAACACATAGTGAGTGAGAAAGGTGACTGGAAAGGAAAAACTCAATGCATCATGGGAATCCCCGGCAGCCTACGTCTATTGCAGCATAACTAAGGGAGGATTCAGGGTCACCTGGTCCAGCCCTAACTATATGCTTTAGCAAAAAGGAAAGTTTTAAGCCTAATCTTAAAAGTAGAGATAGTGTCTGTCTCCTGAATCCAAACTGGAAGCTGGTTCCACAGAAGAGGGGCCTGAAAACTGAAGGCTCTGCCTCCCATTCTACTTTTAATAATACTCTAGGAACAACAAGTAGGCCTCTCTTTT